TCCGTCTTCTCTCCCTGCTGAATGCGGAAGCCCTGCCACCATGCCGCCTGTCGTTCCAAAGCTGAGAGAAAATCAGACGCTGTAACAAAGACGTTTTTCCCATGGTCCCGCCCCGTGGGTTTTGCGGCAAAAAAAGTTTGCTTTCTGATTATTTTATGCCTTTAACTTTCCTATGTTTGTTTTAACGATTAGCCGTGTGCTCTCCCTGCGGCTGCGGGTGGAAGCCCCTCCGCCTTTCCCCCCTGCTCTGGTGCCAGAGGGGCCGAGACAGAGACCGGGCGGGGCTTGAGAAGCCACGGCTTGGGTTTCTCGGTCCGGGCTCCCCTTCCCCCTCTGTCCCTCCCACCGCGCGGCAGCCGCCACTGTGCTGTTAGCACACAGCACGGCGGGGAAGATGGGCAGCTCCCTCGCTCCCACAGAGCGGCTCCGCCAAGGGAATGGCGGTTTGCCTTCACTCCCCCCTTCCCCTAGGAGTGACAAACAAAAAAGTATTGATATATTGATTACAGAATGTGAATCTACTGAAATGATATTGTTGAGAAGTTACAGTTCAAAGATTCATGTGGTTTTTTACACCAGGATTTTTAGGAATCTTGTTTTAAAATTGTATCAAGTAAGAGATTCTTTTCCAGTTAGAGCAGGCACTGGCCACACCTAGCTCTTTCTGAACACGAATCACCAACAAAACCAGATATTTCTGCAGCAAAATTACATATGAGTTCTTTGACTCAGCAATGAGAAACACTTTAACTATTTGCAGTTTCTGGGCTGATAAAAAAAAAAAGAGAAAAAAGAAAAAGAGGGGATGATGAATTTGAACAAAGTATATTTGTATTAAAAGCTTAAAAAATTAATTATCAAATCTAAATTTTGATTGACTAACAACAGTGAAGTCTAATTAATTTATTAGCTTGGGAGAAGGTATGCTTGTTTTATTATCAGCAGGTTCAAGCAGGCACATCAAACACCCATCACCTTCAAGGAGTGAAAAAGGTCATGTTTCAGGATTCAAGAAGATATTAATGATGCTCAAGACCAATGTCTTCAGCTGATGGACTTTTCCCTGAGTTTCATTTATTTGGACTCTAAGCCAAAAATTATTAATTTTCCAAAAAAATGTAATTGTACCTCATGTAATATCTTACATGCTTTTGGTTTGTTTGTAAGTACCAAGGGCTGTAGTTTTACTTTGTGGTAATTGGGATCATGTATATCTTTTTGAATAAAGTTCATCAAGCAAATTTCTTCATTGATATTAATGTTTTCAATTCAAATTATCGTCCTACAGGTATCATTAGCAACTGAGTGAGCAATGGCCTGCAATGAATCTCTCTAAAACATACAAGCTGCAAAGCCCATGCAGCTCATTCTGGTATTTTCACTACACTTCTGCAAAAGTAAAAAGTGTAAGTGCAAATACACACACAAACACAAAAAAGGAAATAAATTAAAAAAAAAAAAAAGCAGCATCCATGCTGTCTGAATTAATTGCTCATTTGAAGCAATTTGAAAATTGTTCGTCCAATATAGCAGGAGGACTTTTAATGGAGCTTTGCTAATAGCTCAGAAAACAAGAAAAGCTATTGATACCTGCAGGGATTAATCTAACTGTCAAATGTTAAAACGTCACAAACCAAGTTTGATCCAGTTAAGTCCCCTGAATTTGGTCATTGAATCTGCTTATTTAGCAGACATAACCAAATGTTTGAATTATTCACTTCTGAAAGAGGTCAATGGTGAAACTTTGTTTCATTATTGAAAATTTTCCTGCACATTCAGAGTCACTCCAATTTACCAAGTTTAACTGACTCCTTGCAAGAATAAACAACAAAACTTGATGGTAATGTTAGCATTCAGGAACACATAATCACGGAATGATTACACGAAGGAGCTTAATTGAAGAGCTCTCAGTGTCAGGGGTATGTGGGGGCCAGAGAACCGGCCAACCTAGAGACTTTGGCTCTCTCCCCTGGAGAGATTCTCCCTAGGTGAGGCATTTCTCTCAGAGAGAGAAAAGTGTCACTCCCAGAGGCCCTGAGTTAGACATGTTAATTTGTTGCACCCCATTGGTTTTTCTCCCTATCAATCCACCCTGATACATGTATCCAAGTTTCCCCTTCCCCTCTTCTTCGCTACATAAACCCTGGTTTTTTTCCCCAGTTTGAGAGCTGCTGTCACTGGCTCCCTTCACTGAGGGCCCTGCTATAATAAAGGCTGTTTCTCAGTGGAATGCCATACAGTGCTCTAGTCTCTCTCCACGTCGCCTGCAAGCTGCCGCTGAGCTGAGACCACTCGCCGGGCAAGGGACGTTCCAGTGCTCCTGGCCGTCCTTTTCAGGACAGCTTCTTCAGGGTAGTCATGGCACCCCTTCCATCGACCCCGCCGCAGCAAGTGGCGCCCAGTGTGGGGCATCCAAAGAGCCCCTGAGGACCGACCGCCAGGTGGCCACCCGCCCACCAGCTTTCTGGTGGCCCCATCGGCGTTGGCCGAAGAAAAGTTGTAACACTTCCAAGAGTTTTTTGGGCCTTTCTTATTTCTGTTTGCATTTTGCTGCTGGGTGGGGAGTGAAAAGGATGGGGAATCAGTTTTCCAGACCCAAGCTGACCCCTCCTGAGAGGGACTTTTATATCCAAGTTGTAGGCACCCTAAATGCAGGAAATTTTAAGTTTTCAAAAGGGGAGTTGAAGAGATGTGTTCATTGGATTTTTAAGCATTTTAAAGTTGATTCTAATTCTGTTTGGTTGGGAGATTTTTGGGACAATGTGGGGAGAAAGTTGTACACGGTTCAAGCAGGTGGAGATTTTTCGGTTGCTAAGTTTTTTCCTGTGTTTCAAACTATTATTCTTTCATTTGAGAAAGAGGGAAAAAAGGTTGAGGGTGTTTCGGGTCCCCAGTTAAAACCCCCATCCCCATTAACCTTTCCGAGTTTCCCTAAACCCTCTTCCCTATCTGATGGGCAGTCGGCGGGTGAACGTAGCCACCAGGCACAGTGTTGTTGCTGTCTCCCTGACACCCCCGCACCGCCTCTCTACCCTTACCAGGACAGTACTGGCCATGCCACTCTGGGTCTTTCCTCTACCCTCCTCCCTATGCCTACATACCCAGTTGTATCCCCCCTGGTTCATGATATTGCTAAAGATGGTGCTAGCAACATGGCCAGCCCCGCCATCTTGTCTCCTTCACACCCAGGTTTTCCTGCCCTTGCACCCCAAAATGGCCACTTTCCCGCCTCTACCCCTTCTCTTCCTGTTGCGCCCTGCTCCGCTTCCTCTCCTACTGCGTCGTTGAGTGTAACCGCATCGGGCCCCTCCCCGTCCACCGGGAAACTCCTACCCATTGCGGACCCCAGTCACGCCCTTCCAACCAGAGCTCTACCCCAGATGGCACTCCCACTCCCGATCCCCGCCACACTGGGACTGGAAGTAGTAATGACGGCAACCGGAAGGAAGCCATCTTGTCTTCCTCGGCCACTCACAAGCAAACCAATACTGGTTGCCCAAAACTGCCACGCGCTGTCATCAAGTGCCCCCTATCCCCACTAGGGGATGAAAACAGTGAGTCCTCATATTCAGAATCTGAAGACCACTGGGCTGAGGTACAAAGGGAAGCCACGTGGGCAGGAGACTCAGCCCTGTCTAAAAAGACATTAGCTTTCCCTGTGGTACAGAGGAAGGACAGGGCAGGGGCACTCATTAATGTAAGGGAGTCCCTACACTATAGGGAGTTACAGGAGCTGTGCAAAGCCGCTGAGGAGCATGGTAGAGGCTCTCACTTTTTCAAAAACTTACTAGAAGCCACCTTCACCATGGTCCCCCATGACATCAAAAACATTATGAACTGCCTGCTTTCCTCGGCAGAATATATGCTGTGGGAAAAGCAGTGGAAGAAACATCTTAAGCAATTGGCAGACGCATATTTCAAAGACGCCAACAAACCTAATTTAACACTAGAACAGTTGGCGGGAGAAGGTGACTTCCAGAAACCACGGGAACAGGATCAAGAACTGCCCAAGGCAGCTCTCCATGACATTGCCAATGCTGCAAAGATATCTCTTTTTACCACCCCTGATGACAAGGTGCCGATGCAGTGCTTCACCAACATTAAACAAGGGGCAAATGAGTCTTTTATTGAATATATAGACAAATTGAAAGTGGCCATTGAGAAGCAAATAGAGTGCCCCCAGGCACAAAAGGAACTATTGTTAAAAACAGCAATGGCCAATGCTAATATGGAATACAAAGCAGTCCTACGGGCCCTTCCACTTGACCCCGAACCAACCATAGACCAAATGATTGAAGCCTGCAACAAGCATGTCTCCACTTCTACCGAAAACACAGTAGCCCTTGCGGTTGCTAAAGGAGTGGCAGAAGGGATATCCGGTGCCTACGCAGTTGAAATGATAAAGGACTCAAGCTCAAGCCGCTGTTTTAACTGTGGTGAGCCTGGACACTTTTTTAAGGATTGTCCAGAGAGACATTTCTTACAACCTCCCGACCACCAACGGTTACCCAGACCAAACTGGCATTCGGGAAACTTCAAGCAGAGCGCAGGATGACCCCCGCTCCGACACCAAATCAAATGCCGCACCGCTCCATCCCTCCTGCAAAATCTACCATCCCGCCTCCATGGGGACCTTGGTCATAGATCCCTGACTATAAGCAGAAGACCCAGCATGTGGAGTGATTCAGGTGGGAACCCAGCGCCAGCTGGTAACCAGACTCTCTTTACAACTTAAGGGTGACTGCGTCTACAAAATCCCCAGAGGGAAACGTGGGCCACCAGGTGGTCCCTCAAATATTTTAATACTTGGGGATCCAGCTAACTCTCCGGGACAAATTTTTACAGTTCCTGAGGTCCAGACTGTATACCCAGGAGATGAAATTTTCATCTCCTTGACATGCACAGACTCACCCTACTACCTACAAAAACAGACTCCAGTGGCACAAGCCTTTTTGTTACCAGGTGACTGTTCGGAACAGGTTCCCCTCAATCCCACCACCATGTGGACTCATGTTGTGGGCTCCAACAAACCTATCATGGAGTGCAGCCTGTTCTGTAAAGGGGAAAAGATCCAGTACCCAGGAATGCTGGACACCGGAGCGGATGTTACCATCATTGCCCGCTCCGAGTGGCCAGCCAACTGGGAATTGCAGCTGGTGGCAGGGATGATTATGGGGACTGGAGGAGTAGCGGTGTCTATGAGAAGCAGGCACAATGTAATTGTAGAAGGTCCCGAAGGAAAAATGGCTACCATCTGGCCATTTGTTGTGAGGGCACCAATCCCCCTCTGGGGACGGGGTCTCCTATCCCAATGGGAAGCCTCTCTGTGGATTCCCAGCAGGGATTTTTAGTGGGGGTCACTGAGAAGTCCGCCATGCCTACCATCCCCCAACTCACCTGGAAACAGCACCATCCAGTGTGGGTTGATCAGTGGCCCCTATCTGAAACTAAACTGCGTGCACTAGAAGCCCTCGTGGGGGAGCAGCTTGCCAAGGGCCACATCACAGAATCCAACAGCCCTTGGAATTCCCCCATCTTTGTTTTATGCAAACCAGGCAAAGACAGGTGGATACTCCTCCATGACCTCTGGAAAATCAATGAGGTCATTGAGGATATGGGCCCCCTCCAGCCTGGTATGCCCTCACCTTCCATGCTTCCTCGGGACTGGAAGCTTGCAATCATAGACATCAAAGATTGCTTTTTTAACATCCCTCTCCATCCCCAAGATGCCCCCAAGTTTGCATTTTCAGTTCCCACCCCAAACAGACAGGCGCCTCTAAAAAGGTACCATTGGCTTGTTCTCCCGCAAGGGATGAAAAATTCTCCTGCCATCTGCCAATGGTACATAGCCCACATCCTATCCCCAGTGACAGTCCTGTTCCCGAATGCAGTAATTATACATTACACAGATGATATTCTGGTTTGTGCCGCTGATGAAGACTACCTAAAACAGACCTTGCACAAAACTATTAAGACAATTGAGGATGCTGGGTTTGAGATCCACGAAGACAAGATCCAGTACACCTGCCCTTAGACCTACCTGGGTCTCCGGATGTGTGAGCAGACCATCGTACCCCAGCAGCTGACCATCTGAGACAACCCCAAGACCCTCCGAGACCTACACCAACTCTGCGGGTCCATCAACTGGGTACGTCCCCTGCTTGGGATCACAAAGGAAGTCCTTGCGCCCCTCTTCAACCTGCTCCGCAGTAGCGAGGCCCTCAATTCACCGCGCACCCTCACACCGGAGCCCTGGGAATCCATCATCAAGGTCCAGGAGGCCCTGTCTTCGCGGCAAGCCCACTGCTTCGAACCCAGCCTGCCCTTCCAGCTGGTTGTCCTGGGTAAGGCCCCGTGCTTACACGCGCTCATTTTTCAATGGGACATGGCATTGAAAGATCCACTCCTTATCATTGAGTGGATCTTTACACATAACCAACCCACCAAGAGTATTACCACTCTGCAGGAAATCGTGGCTGAACTCATTAAAAAAGCTAGAGCCCATCTCCACACTCTTGCGGGTTGTGAGTTCACATGCATTTTCCTTCCATTGACAACTGGGGATTTGGAGCCTTTACTCCAAACCAATGAGAGCCTTCAGTTCGCTCTTGATAGCTATTCTGGCCAAATTTCTATACAACCACCAGGCCACAAATTATTTAAATCTGCGTTTAATTTGGTCCCCAAATTATTACTCAGTAAAACACCATTCAAGGCTCTGACAGTTTTCACGGATGGCTCGGGGAAATCCCACAAGTCAGTCATGACTTGGAAGGACCCCAGGACACAGAAGTGGGAGTCTGATGTCTAAGTGGTTGAGGGATCGCCACAGATTGCTGAATTAGCAGCTGTTGTCAGAGCTTTTGAGAAATTTCAAGAACCTTTCAATCTGGTGACTGATTTGGCTTATGTGGCTGGAATAGCTATAAGAGCAGAACATGCCTTTCTAAAAGAAGTCCCTAACCCAAATTTATATAAATTGCTTTCTGAATTAATATATCTCATCTCCCACAGAAAGCAACCATACTAGATTATGCATGTGAGGTCACACACTGACCTCCCAGGTGCTATTGTGGAAAGTAACAAGAGGGCGGACACCTTAGCCATGGCTGCTGGAGCAGCCATAGTCCCGGACATTTTTGCCCAGGGAAAACTGTCCCATCAATTTTATCATCAAAACATCCCTGCCTTAATGAGGATGTTCAAACTACCCAGGGATGTTGCTGTATTTTATATATTAGTAAAGGCCTGTCTGCACAAACCAGTCTCTGAAAAAAGACTAAAGTCCTTGAAACCTTCCTGCAGAAGAGAGAGTAAAGCAAAACAATATCCTTGTGTACAGGAGAAAAAATGTAAACCTGTGTTTATTAGCCAGTGGTAACTTGCTTAGCCCACAGACCCTGTAGAGCCCTATAAAAGGTGTGCTAAAGATAGAAATAAACGGCGTTCACGTTTACTTCTGTGAAGGGTCGTGAATAAGCTGGCAGTCTCTCAATACAGGGATCAGGCAAGGGTAATCAGAGTTAACCCCCGTGGACTCAACAGCTGCCAGATATGGCAGACTGATGTCACCCATGTCCCATCCTTCGGGAGAGTCAAATATGTTCATGTTTTGGTGGACACCTTTTCTGGTGCAGTCTTTACCTCAGCCCACGCAGGAGAAAATGCCAAACATATCATCCGACATTTTCTCCTTGCGTTTGCTACCCTGGGAGTCCCACAACAAATAAAGACAGATAATGGACCTGCTTACACCTCTCACAGGTTGAGAGATTTCTTCAGCCAGTGGGGAGTAAAGTACACCACAGGCATACCTCACTCTCCCACAGGGCAATCAATTGTGGAAAGGACACACCAGAACCTTAAGAGAGTCCTTGATCAGCAGTGCGGGGGAACAGAGATCATTCCTCTCATTGAGAGGCTCTGTAAGGCACTGTATGTTATGAATTTTCTAAATTGTTCACCTACAGAGCCTGACCCCCCTGTAATACAGCACTTCTCTAATTCGACCCATGCCAAACTCACAGAGAAGCTGCCGGTGCTGATCAAGAATCCTGAGTCACAGCAGACATCAGGACCTTTCCCACTGATTATCTGGGGGAGAGGGTATGCTTGCGTGTCAACACCATCTGGTCCTAAGTGTCTCTCAGGGAAAAATATAAAACCATACTTTGGCCCTGCAAACCCTGCACCAGAACCAGATAAAACAAAATCTTCTGAGACCCACACAGGTCCACTGACACAACAGACAACCACCTCCTGGAGACATAGACGTCACAGGAATCCATCAAGCCGTCCCGCCACCAGACCACCAACCAGACATAAGCCAAATTGTCCTGCCACCAGGGCTACAACAAGACAAGAGCCAACACCCAGCTCAACACTGTGAAGATGCACAAAGCTTCTCTTACTCCTTTTCCCTCTCTCTTCCCTCTCCCTATCCCTATTCTTACCTTAAATACTTAGCCCTAGATTACCCACTTGCTAATTTGCACGAAAAATGCACCTTAATGCTGCTGCTGCTGGTGTCTGGTCATGTGTCCCCTCCACACAAAATGACCCCACCAGCAATCAGCTACCTCATCCCCAATGCCTGTTCCTCTCATATAGTTCTTTTTTTAGAAAAAGGGGGGAGAAAAGAGAAGAAAGGGGAAAAGAAAAATAACCCCCCTCCAAAGTCAGAGCTAATCTTTTTATATTCTGTTATAGAATATGGAAAGCAAAACCATCCTGGAGTTCCTGACCATCTGGATGCTCCTGAAAACATCAGCCATGGATGCCTGGCTGGTAGCACAGCCCAAAGAAAACATGTGGATCACCCTCGTCAAGCCCCTCAAGCAAGACCACGTGCTTGTCCATGAGCAGTGCCACCAACCCTCTGTCATCATGCCTGGTAGGGGTTCCTTTGAAGCCCCATGAATATCCTTTCACAGGGAAAGAACCCAACCCGATAGACACCTGGGACGAGTAGACAAGTATATTACCCCATGCACCAGAGGAGCCCCAAGAATTGGAGCTTCTGGGATCCTCCAAGGCCACATATTGTGTAAATTTTGACCACCGCCCAGTAGGCAAGGCATGGCCTGCCTCCAAATATCAGTCAAAACAAAGAAAAATGTGACACCTCACAGCAAAATTTACAATCAATTTAAATGGTGCAATTACACCAGCAGTACATGATCCGCCTCCTCTTGCCGTCCCAGAATGCTGCCCCAGGGAGTGTTCTTAATCTGTGGCGACAGAGTGTGGGCAGGAATCCCTTCCCAACTCCAGGCAGGTCCTTGCACATTTGGACAGCTTACCATCCTCACTCCAGACTCAACCCTAATGTATGATTGGCAGAGAAAGAATGAATTGGCCTGCCAAAAGAGAGATCTTACCCAATTGGAGGAAAATTGCAATAGCCAAATTGAAGACTGGCCCTATAAAAAGAGGGTAGTGATGTTGGCCTTTTTGCCTTGGGTAGCCACTGCTAAAGCCCTTGGTGAGCTTTCTCACCTGGAGCGTTGGCTTGGTAAGCAGGCCAACTCAACCTCTTCTGTATTGAGTGACCTCCTGGCTGATGAGGTGACGGTCAGGCATGTGACACTCCAAAATCATGCTGCGATAGACTTCCTGCTCCTCGCCCACAGACACAGCTGCGAGGAATTCAACGAGCTGTGCTGCTTCAACTTGTCCAACCATGGCTAAAGCATCCATGCGCGCCTCCAGAAAATTAACAACATGGTACAGGAACTCAAGAAAGAAAATGAGCCCCAGTGGTTTGAGGACCTTTTGGGCAGTTGGGGACTCAATGGATGGGTTACTTCCATCTTGAAAAGCATTTTTTGGATTCTTTTAATTATTATCATTTTCCTTTGTATGGTTACATGTTGTAAGAGGTTGCTGATGAGGTCTCTGGGAAATGCATTTTTATTAAATAAAGAAGGGGGAGTTTCTTCAGGGTAGTCGCAGCACCCCTTCCATCGACCCTGCCGCGGCAGGGGTACACATACCCAAATCTGACCGGACTGGTTTTGAGTTGAACATGTTTTTATACTCTATCATTATATAACTTTCATACTAATTATTAAACTTACGTTGTTCTATTGTATGCATTGATTTTACCCAAGCATGGATTTCTCGTGATCCCCCCAAACCCCTAACATAGTTTCTCATGATTCTTTAAACAATAATTATATCTAATTACATCTAACAATTACATTTTTTATCATATACTGACTACACAGGTGCAGTTTCACATGATCTTAGCAAGCACAAGGCCTAACATTTCCTAGGGCCTATTTTAACACTTTTCCCAGGGCTTGCCAAGCCTAACTTTCTTTCTAATGCCCCGAATTTTCTATGATTTTAAAAGCTTTTACCTCTCTTTCTGCTCTCTTGTGCCTCGTTTGTCATTCAGGCAGCTTCCATTACTATAATACAGTCCAAAAACTTTCAACTGATTAAGAAATTTATGAATATTTCAGTATTACACCCAAACCTTGAAATACATTACTGGAAAAGAATAAGACAGACTAAAACCAAATAACTTTTTAAAAGCACTGCTGTGGAAAATGAAATTGTAGATAAGTGTGAACTCATAATTACCAGTTAGAAACAGAATAAGACAGATAGGAAGAGTTCAAGCAGAAACTTTTAAAATGTCTATATAACTGCTGGATTTTCCAGTGGCTGCACAAGAATTGCACCTTACAAAGACTAGGAAAAACAAACTCAAAGGCACCAGTGGGACATAAGGGCAAATGTACGAAACGTGACTAGTGCAAAGAGCTGATTTCTATGCAATCCAAATTACATAACACTAAAATGCTTTTGTTCTGTTTAAAGACCATGTCAGTGTCATTGTTGTCTGCATGACTTTTAAAAGTGCAGCTCTCTGAAAGGGGTGAGTCCTAAAACACACACTGAAGTAACAATTCCCCATTTCATTTCATGGGCCAGGTAACAAGCAGTAGTGTTCCTTGTCATTTTCCTTGGCTTCTCAAGGTAAGCACAAATCAATCTTAAAAATTCTCAGACTGGTGGGGAACA